TCAGTTAGTATTTGAGAAAAATAAAAAGAAAAGAAATTCAAAAGAATTATTGACTTAAGACTTTGGGGGGATGACACAAGTCAGTCCATCATCATCATTCCATCATGCAGGGGGAGCCCATTTATGGGCACCACAAGATAAAGACTCTTGGAGTCACTACGCCCGCCCGGGGGGTTACAAGTATCTATGGCAGGTTAAAATCACCCCACCAGATTTTGACCCAAAAGAAATGTAAACTTTGCCAAAAAGGGCTTTTCACACCTTTGCGTCATTATGTACTGAAGTGTGATCAAATTAATAATTTAGAAACAACTCACTCAGAAATGTTCAAGAAATGGCGAAGTATTTTATCCACAGTGGTATATTGCAGACCATTCTGGAGAAATAACCCTGACTTTGCTAGCTGTAAATAATGCATTACCATGTGTGTTATGTGTGTGTGTATGTGTGTGTGTGTGTGTGTTGTGTGTGTGTGTGTGTGTGTTGTGTGTGTGTGTGTGTGTGTGTGTGTGTGTGTGTGTGGTGTGTGTGTGTGTGTGTGCGTGTGTGTGCGGGTGTGTGTGTGTGTGTGTGGTGTGTGTGTGTGTGTGTGTGTGTGCGTGTGTGTGCGGGTGTGTGTGTGTGTGTGTGTGTGTGTTGGTGTGTGTGTGTGTGTGTGTGTGTGTGGTGTGTGTGTGTGTGTGTGTGTGTGTGTGTGTGTGTGTGTGTGTGTGTGTGTGTGTGTGTGTGTGTGTGTGTGTACTCACCTAGTTGAGGTTGCAGGGGTCGAGTCCAAGCTCCTGGCCCTGCCTCTTCACTGGTCGCTACTAGGTCACTCTCCCTGAACCATGAGCTTTATCGTACCTCTGCTTAAAGCTATGTATGGATCCTGACTCCACTACATCGCTTCCCAAACTATTCCACTTCCTGACTAACTCTGTGGCTGAAGAAATACTTCCTAACATCCCTTTGATTCATCTGTGTCTTCAACTTCCAACTGTGTCCCTTGTTACTGTGTCCCAGTCTCTGGAACATCCTGTCTTTGTCCACCTTGTCAATTCCTCTCAGTATTTTGTAAGTCGTTATCATGTCTTCCCTATCTCTCCTGTCCTCCAGTGTCGTCAGGTTGATTTCCCTTAACCTCTCCTCATAGGACATACCTCTTAGCTCTGGGACTAGTCTTGTTGCAAACCTTTGCACTTTCTCTAGTTTCTTTACATGCTTGGCTAGGTGTGGGTTCCAAACTGGTGCCGCATACTCCAATATGGGCCTAACGTATACGGTGTACAGGGTCCTGAACGATTCCTTTTAAGATGTCGGAATGCTGTTCTGAGGTTTGCTAGGCGCCCATATGCTGCAGCAGTTATTTGGTTGATGTGCGCTTCAGGAGATGTGCCTGGTGTTATACTCACCCCAAGATCTTTTCCTTGAGTGAGGTTTGTAGTCTCTGACCCCCTAGACGTACTTTCCCTCTGCGACCTTCTTTGCCCTCCCCAATCTTCATGACTTTGCACTTGGTGGGATTGAACTCCAGGGGCCAAATTGCTGGACCAGGTCTGCAGCCTGTCCAGATCCCTTTGTATTCTCCTGGTCTTCGATCGAGTGTATTCGTCTCATCAACTTCACGTCATCTGAAAACAGGGACACCTCGGAGTCTATTCCTTCCCGTCAGTCGTTCACAAATACCAGAAACAGCACTGGTCCTAGGATTTGCCCCCTGCGGGCCCCGCTGGTCACAGGTGCCCACTCTGACCCCTCGCCACGTCCCTTTGACTCGCTGCTGTCTTCCTGACAAGTATTCCCTGATCCATTGTAGTGCCTTCCCTGTTATCCCTGTTTGGGCCCTCCAGTTTTTGCACCAATCCTTGTGTGGAACTGTGTCAAACGCCTTCTTGCAGTCCAAAAAATGCAATCCACCCACCCTCTCTCTTGTCTTACTGCTGTCACCATGTCATAGAATTCCAGTGGTTTTTTGTGACACAGGATTTCCCGTCCCTGAAACCATGCTGGCTGCTGTTGATGAGATCATTCCTTTCTAGGTGTTCCACAACTCTTCCCCTGATAATCTTCTCCATGATTTTGCATACTATACATGTCAGTGACACTGGTCTGTGTTTAATGCTTCATGTCTGTCTCCTTTTTTAAAGATTGGGACTACATTTGCTGTCTTCCATGCCTCAGGCAATCTCCCTGTTTCGATAGATGTATTGAATATTGTTGTTAGGGGTACACATAGCGCCTCTGCTCCCTCTCTCAAAAACCCATGGGGAGATGTTATCTGGCCCTTTGGGCCTTTGAGGTATCTAGCTCACTCAGAAGCCTCTTCACTTTTTCCCTCGGTTGTGTGACTGTGTCCAGCACTTGGTGGTGTGCCCCACCCCTCCGTCTTTCTGGATCCCTTCTGTCTCCTCTGTGAACACTTCTTTGAATCTCTTGTTGAGTTCTTCACTTCTTCACGTCATTTCCTGTTGTCTCTCCTCCTTCCTTCCTTAGCCTGATTACCTGGTCCTTGACTGTTTTTTTCCCCTCCTGATGTGGCTGTACAACAGTTTCGGGTCAGATTTGGCTTTCGCTGCTATGTCATTTTCATATTGTCTTTGGGCCCCCCTTCTTATCTGTGCATATTCGTTTCTGGCTCTACGACTGTTCTCCTTATTCTCCTGGGTCCTTTGCCTTCTATATTTCTTCCATTCCCTAGCACACTTGGTTTTTGCCTCCCTGCACCTTTGGGTAAACCATGGGCTCATCCTGGCTTTTTCATTACTCCTGTTACCCTTGGGTACAAACCCTCTCCTCAGCCTCCTTGCATTTTTTTGCTACATTTTTCCCTCATCTCATTAAACTGGCTTCCCGCCAGTTCTCTGTCCCACTGAAACCCGTTCAGGTAGTCCTCATTCCTGTGTAGTCCCCTTTCTTGTTTGTTTGGCTTCATTCGTCCTGGCCTTCCTGCTTCTCCTCCACTTGTAGCTCTACTGTGTATTCGAAGCTTAAAACCACATGGGCACTGGCCCAAGGGTCTTTCATATGTGATGTCCTCGATATCTGCACTACTGAAGGTGAATACTAAGCCAGCCTTGCTGGTTCATCCTTCCTCTCTCTCTTGTAGTGTCCCCTTTCGTGTTGGTACATGAAGTTCTCCAGTACCACCTCCATCATCTTAGCCCTCCATGTATCTTGGCCCCCCTGTGGGTCCAAGTTCTCCAATCGATCTCCTTGTGGTTAAAGTCACCCATGATCAGGAGCTTTGCCTGCATGCATGAGCTCTTTCTGGCCACTCTAGCCAGTGTGTCAACCATCGCTCTATTGCTCTCGTCCCTACTCTTGCCTTGGCCTTCCCGCTGTTCTGTGGTGGGTTATACATCACTGCTATTACCACCTTGGACCTCCAGAGTGAAGTGTTCCCACTAGTAATCACTTTCTTCTCCGCTATCTCCTCTCTCCAGCTCATCAAAATTCAGCGATTTTTGATCAGCAACACCACTCCTCCACCCCCCCTGTTCCCTCTGTCTTTCCTCAGGGTTTGGTATCCCCTTGGAAGAAAGGCATCTGTTATCATACCTGAAGCTTGGTTTCTGTGAGAGCTATGATGTCCGGTGATGCTTCTTTGACTCTTTCGTGCCACTCCTCCCACTTATTTGTTATTCCATCAGCGTTTGTGTACCATACCTTCAGTTTCCTTTCCAACACTGTGGTTTGGGGGCCTGTGAGGGTGGGAGACCTGGTGCATACTGTGGGATTTTATAGCTCGGTGTTTGTCTCGGTGTGTGTCTGTGTGTGTGTGTCTGTGTGTGTGTGTCTGTGTGTGTGTTTGTGTGTGTGTCTGTGTGTGTGTCTGTGTGTGTTTTTGTGTCTGTGTTGGGGTGTGTGTGGTGTGTGTGTGTGTGTGTGTGTGTGTGTGTGTGTGTGGGGTGTGTGTGTGTGTGTGTCTGTGTGTCTGTGTGTCTGTGTGTGTGTTTTTGTGTGTGTGTCTGTGTGTGTGTGTTCTGTGTTGTGTGTGTGTGTGTCTGTGTGTGTGTGTCTGTGTGTGTGTGTCTGTGTGTGTGTGTCTGTGTGTGTGTCTGTGTGTGTGTCTGTGTGTGTGTTGTGTGTGTGTCTGTGTGTGTGTCTGTTGTGTCTGTTTTGGTACTCACCTATTTGTGGTTGCGTGCGTGCTGCGTGTTTGGTGGTGTGTTGTGTGTTGTGTGGGGTGTGGGTTTGTGGGGTGTGTGGTGTGTGTGTGTGTTGTTTGTGTGTGCGTGTGCCCTGGTGTCTGTCTGTCGTCGTCCAAAAATCATATTTGCACCAATAACTTATTACAGTTGTGACCGGGGTGGAAGTGTGAATTGCCATTACACTTAATTTTGTTTTGATTGTACCTTATAAACGAAGTAACCATTCTTTCAGAATTCATTACCTTTGTAACTTTTTGAGCTCATTACCTTTGTACCTAGTTTCACTATCAAAACTTTGGGGGCCCTCCCTGGACCCTTATGTACCCTTAAAACGAAATACCTTTTTTAACTTGTCGTTGTGACCAACCTCCTGGATTTATTACCTTTTTAAAATTTTGAGTTTTTTACCTTTTTAAATTGTGAGTTTATTACCTCGTAATTGCTCAGCTATCAAAACTTTTGAGTCCACCCTGGACCAATTTTTTTACCCTTAATCTTTTGACTACCTCCCACAGGATGGGTATGGGGTGCATAATAAACATATTAAACTAACTAACTGTTAGCACACTTTTGGCAAGAGAGCAGTTGAATGAATGATGGGGAACATGTTTCCTTTCTTGAGAAACCCTGGAAGATGGCTGCTAAATATACATAAAGAATAAAAAGACACAATACTGTAACTGGAATAATACACAAATAGTCCACACATAAAAGACTGAAACTTAACATGATGTTTCAGTCCAACTTGAACTGGAATCCAAAATGTCACTAGTGTGACTAGTTAATGGTCCAAATCAGACCAAAATCTCATAAGCTTCAGTCTCCTATGTGCGGGTTATTTGTGTACAAACAAACATATTCTTCCCTTACCTCGTAGTATGGAGCAAACTGTTTTTCTTGGTTACCACGTATGGCACGTGGCAAAATGAAGTTTCCATCATCGTAGTAATGTCCAGATTTCAAGCTTTTAGTTTCAAATGTTTCTGGTTGTTGAGGTAGATTAGTTTGCTTTGGAGGAAATTGTTTTGCTCCGTATGGAGGAAAATTGAACTTAGGGTCATTGGGTCTGGTTAAGACATTTGTTTTTGCAGTGTTTGGTTTAGGGGCTTGATCACATCCTTGGCTGGGTCTTACAGGTCGTTGTCCCTGGTTAATACGTGCAGCTGTACGAGTAGGCACCCATGCAGACGGACCTCTTGGATGTCGTGCTGGCTACAAAGAATTGTTTAATAAAATTAGTTTTAAAATGAAGTATACAAAGGAAGAGTATACCCCCCCCCTTTTTTTAAAAACACTGGCTGTCTCCCACCAAGACAGGGTGACCCAAAAAAGAAACACTTTTACTATCATTCACACTTTCACTGTCTTGCCACTTTAGAAGTCCCTCTAAACAGCAAATATCCCAAACCCTCCTTTAAAGTGCAGGCACCATACTTCCTACTTCCAGGACTCAAGTCCAACTAATCTGTTTCCCTGAGTCCCCTCACAAAATATTACCCTGCTCACACTTCAACAGCTCGTCAAGTCCCAAAAACCACTTGTCTCCACTTACTCCCGTCTTAACACGTGTCTGTTGTATAGCTAAGACCCTTGCACACAAAACCTCCTTTACCCATCCATCCATCCTCTCCTAGGACGAACCCTATCCCGCTTTCCCTTAACTACAGATTTTTATAACCCTCCAAGTCATACGATTTTGCTCCTTCCTCTCTAAATGAACAAACCACCTTAACAATCCCTCCTCAGCCCTCTGGATAATACTTCTAGTAACTTCACACCTCCTCCTAATTTCCAAACTACTGAGGTGGTTCGGACATGTAGAGAGAATGGAGCGAACAGAAGACTTCAAGAGTTACATCGTAGTGAAGAAGCGGGTAGGGTCGCTAGGAAGGTGGAGGAGGGGTAAGGAGTTGTGTGCGAGGCTTGGCTTCCAGCAGGCATGCGTGAGCGTTTTGATAGAGTGAAGGAACAAATGGTTTAATACTTGACGTGCTGTTGAGTGTGAGCAAATAACATTTATAAGGATCAGGAACCGCAGGCCGACTTGAGTCTGAATGGATACAGTGCCTGCACTCTGAAGGAGGTGTTAAGTGCAGTTAAAAACTGAGTGTAAGCACCCTCTGGCAAGCCCAGTGATGGAGTAATGATGGTAAAGTTTTCTTTTCGGCCACCCTGCCTGGTGGAATCGCCGTGTGATAATAAAATAATAAAAATAAATTCCCTCCATAACACTTATGCCACACATTGGCCTTAGACACATCTCCACTGCTTCTAACCTCTTTCTCACCGTAACGTTCGCAACCTATGCTTCACACTCGTGTGTTGGTACCACTATACTCTTATAAACTCCATTCTTTGCCTCCATGGATAACGTTCTTAGTCTCCACAGGTACCTCAATGCACCACCCATCTTTTTCCCACTTTCATCAATTCTATGGTTTACCTTGTCTTTCATATACCCATCATATACGGGATGTTCAGTAAGTTTAATTTTAACAACCATAGAATTAACTGGGAAAAAATAAACCAAGAGCTATCAGACATACCCTGGGAATCAGACATGAGCACCCTAAATCCCCACCAGTGCCTAGAGAAGCTGAATACAGAAGCATACAAAATATGTATGAAACATGTACCATTGAGGAAACCCAGAGGAAGATCAGATATAGAGAGCGTAGGAGATAGTACAGAAGAAAACGGGTTACTGAACTGCTTAAAAACACAATTATGCTACAACAGAGGAAAGATAGACTTAGCAGAGAGATCACTGAATTAGAGCAAAAACTTAGGATGTCATACCTCACAGAAGAAATACAAAAGGAACAAAAGGCCATACAGGACATTGCAAGAAACCCAAAATATTTCTATTCCTACGCAAAATCCAAGCTAAGAACTACCTGTAGAACTGGCCCACTACTGAGAGGAGACTTGTATACTGACGACAAACAGGAAATGAGTGAAATCCTAAAAGAACAGTATGAGTCGGTGTTCAGCAACCCACTAAATGACAGCAAGGTAGAAAATGCAGAAATATTTTTCACTCCAGAAGAAGGCCGCACAGACCAACTAACTGACATTAGTACAAATCCCATAGATTTCAAAAAAGAAATGGAAAACATGCCCACTCACTCAGCACCTGGACCAGATTCATGGAATGCTCTATTTATAAAGAAATGCAAAGTACCACTACCATGAGCCCTCAGTATTCTTTGGAGAAAGAGCTTAGATCTAGGTGAAATACCTGAGGCCTTAAAGAGTGCAGACATAGTTCCTTTGCATAAGGGAGGTAGTAGAGCATTAGCTAAAAATTACAGACCAGTAGCCCTAACCTCTCACATCATAAAAATCTTCGAAAGAGTGATGAGACGGCAGGTTACAAATTTCATGGAGCAGCACAACCAACATAACCCAAACCAGCATGGTTTTAGAGCAGGACGATCATGTCTGTCACAGCTGCTGAACCATTATGACAGAATTACGGAGGCACTGGAAGACGACCAAAACGCAGGTGTCATTTACACAGATTTTGCAAAGGCGTTTGATAAATTTGATAAATTTGGGGTGCCAGGGGAAAATGTAAATGGGGAGCCTTTAATTGAGCTATGTATAGAAAGAAATTTGGTAATAAGTAATACATATTTTATGAAAAAAAGAGGATAAATAAATATACAAGGTTGATGTGCACGTAAAAAAAAGTATTTTTGTTAGATTATGTTTGGTGGATAAAAGGTTGAGGGGTAGGCCCCGGTGTACATGTTTATAGAGGGGAACTGAATATCGGATCTTATTTAGTTGTAGCTCATTAGAGTAAGGGGTTTGATGGAAAGAGGAAGGTGGCAACAAAAATAAGAGGGGGGTTTAAAAGTGTATAAACAAGGGGAGGGGGAAAAATTTGGGGCGGATATAAGACTTTTGGCGAAAGGGGGTAGTGCAAAGATGAGTAGGGGGGGGGTTGAAGAGGGTTGAAATTTTTTAAAAATGCAGTATTAAAAGGTGGGGCAGAATTTTGTGGTTATGGAGGGTGGGGGAGGAGGAAAAGAGGAATGATTGGTGGAATGATGAAGAAAAGGGGTGTGATAAAAGAGAAAAAGGTAGTTTTACGAGAGGTTTTTACAAAGCAGAAGTGTTTAAGAAGAGCAGAGCATATGGAGAGTAAAAAAAAGGGTGAAAAGTGGTGAGAGAGGCAAAAGGAGAGAATGAAGAGTGGGAGAGGCATGCCAAGAAATTTTAATGAAAAATAAAAAAAATTTTTGGAGTGAGTTAAAAAAGTTAGAAAGCCTAGGGAAAAGATGGATTTGCAGTTAAAAACCCGAGTAGGGGAGTTAGTAGAGGGGGAGAGGGAGGTATTAGGTAGACGGGAAGAATATTTTGGGAACTTTTTAAAGTTAGGAAGAAAGGGAGGCGGGTTTTATGCACTGGCCAGGGGAGGGATACCCCTTTTTGGATGAGAAGGGCGGGAAAGCAAGTGTGGTGGGGGTCGTGAGGCATTACGTAGAAAAAGGGGGTTTAAAAACAGCGGAATGAGGGATCATGGCAGAAATGTTAAAAGCCGGGGGAGATTAGTGTTGGAGTGGGGGGACTTTTGTTTTTAAATTATGAAAGAGGGGAAGGTACAGGGATTTCGGGGAAGGGGATGATAGTCCCCTTTAATAAAGGGGAAAAGGGGGCAAAAAAAGATTGTAAAAAATTTTTAGAGGGAAAAGTTTTCTGATTTACCCGGAAAAATTACGGTAGAGTTATAATTGAAAGAATTGAGGCAAGACAGAATGTAGAAATTCAGATGACAAAGGGGGCTTAGGGTGGGTGGGGATGTGTAATCAAATGTTTTTCATTTAGCATATAGTGATCAGTATTTGATAAAAGGAGTGAAGTTTTTTTTTGATTTTTTGGTTTAGAAAAAGGCATAGATGAGTGGAAGAGGGCAATGTGGAGAAAGTTGAAGATAGGAATAGGTGGTAAGTTCTAAATCTGTAAAGAGCTTTTTTGAGGACAGGAGGGTCAGGTTAGTGTGTGTAGAAAGAGAGGGAGAATACTTCCCGGTAAAAGTAGGTTTAGACAGGGATGTGAATGCACCATGGTTTTTTAAAAATATTTAAGATGGGGGTTTTAAAAGAAGTAAATGCTAGGGTGTTTGGGGGAGGGGGGGGGATTAAAATTAATGGGAACAAAATTTAAAATGGGGAAATTTAAACCGTATTTTTGTGAGATACTGTGCTTATGGGAGATTCTAAGAAAATTGCAAAGGTAGTGGTGAGTTTGAGAATGTGTGAAAGGTGAAAATTTAAAGTGAACATGGAAAAAAGTAAGGGTGAGGGTATAATGATTTGATAAAGAAAAATTGGATTCAAATTGGGGAGGGGAGTTGGAAGAATGAAGTTTTCAGATACTTGGGAGTTAGTGTCAGGGATGGATTATGAAGGAGGGGTTTAATCATAAAATTGATGAGGGAAAAAAAAAGGTGGGGGGTGCTTTGAGGTATAGGTGGAGTCAAAAAATTTATCATGGAGGCAAAGAAGGGAAGTATGAAAGTATAGTGTACCAACCTCTTATATGGAGGGTGAAGCTTGGGTGGTAAATGCAGCAGCGGGAGAGGTTGGAGGGTGGAGATGCCCGTTAAGGGCAATGTGGGGGTTAAATATTATGAAAAAAAATTTGGGGAGTTGGAAATTAAGGGGTTGGTTTAATAAAAGCATTAGTCAGGGGGCAAAAGGGGGGTTGTTGAGGTGGTTTGGTCTTTAAGAAAGGATCAAAGAGAATACTGCAAAAAAATTTAAATCTTAGGGGGAAGGAAAGAGGGGGAGGGGGGGTCCCGAAAGGGTTGGAAAGAGGGGGTAAAGGAGGTTTTGTGGGCGAGGAGCTTGGACTTCCAGCAAGAGTGCATGAGCGTGAATGGAAACGAATGATACTTGGGACCTGACGATCTGTTGGAGTGTGAGCAGGGTAATATTTAGTGAAGGGATTCAGGGAAACCGGTTATTTTCGTATAGTCGGACTTGAGTCCTGGAAATGGGAAGTACAATGCCTGCACTTTAAAGGAGGGGTTTGGGATATTGGCAGTTTGGAGGGATATGTTGTGTATCTTTATACGTATATGCTTCTAAACTGTTGTATTCTGAGCACCTCTGCAAAAGCAGTGATAATGTGTGAGTGGTGAAAGTGTTGAATGATGATGAAAGTATTTTCTTTTTGGGGATTTTCTTTCTTTTTTGGGT